CAGGCCTCCACCCCCAGGAAGCAGCCCGTGACAGCTGACTAACACCCAGGTACCTATTTTACTGCTAGGTAACAGGGGCATTCAGGGTGAAAGAAACTTTGCCCATTTGTTTCTGCCTCGTGCGGGAATCGAACCCGCGCCACAGAATTACGAGTCCTGCGCGCTATCCACCAGGCTACGAGGCCCTAGTGGGTATAGTGCTGGTTTAAAGGGAAAGGGGAACTTGGTTCTTCGAGAATACTTAAGATACAATTAATACATAAAATTAAACCACGCAATTCCGTGTGTGTGTGTGTACTCACCTATTTATGCTTGCGGGGGTTGAGCTTTGGCTCTTTGGTCCCGCCTCTCAACTGTCAATCAACTGGTGTGTGTACTCACACACCTGTCTGTATATATATATATATATATATATATATATATATATATATATATATATATATATATATATATATATATATATATATACAAACATGTATATAAAATATCTTTATGTCGTGAAATATAGAATGACGTAAGTGGAGAACGTATAAGAGAATTTCGCTAAATAACTAGGGATAGATTTCATTCGGAGGGTCCTATGAAGTAGGTCACGATGGCCGAGCAGGTGTGACCTGGAAATGGTCTCAATAGGACCACCTGTGCCAGTAATTATCCTAATATAAATCATTACACTATTGACTTGAATACCGGTCAATATGCAAGCTTTATACAAGCTTTAGCTGCTTAGGATATATATATATATATATATATATATATATATATATATGTCGTACCTAATAGCCAGAACGCACTTCTCAGCCTACTATTCAAGGCCCGATTTGCCTAATAAGCCAAGTTTCATGAATTAATGTTTTTTCGTCTACCTAACCTACCTAACCTAACCTAACCTAGCTTTTTTTGGCTACCTAACCTAACCTTACCTATAAATATAGGTTAGGTTAGGTTAGGTAGGGTTGGTTAGGTTCGGTCATATATCTACGTTAATTTTAACTCCAATAAAAAAAAATTGACCTCATACATAGAGAAAAGGGTTGCTTTATCATTTCATAAGAAAAATATTATAGTAAATATATTAATTCAGGAAAACTTGGCTTATTAGGCAAATCGGGCCTTGAATAGTAGGCTGAGAAGTGATTCTGGCTACTAGGTACGACATATATATATATATATATATATATATATATATATATATATATATATATATGGTTCTCAGGGTTCGTAGTCATAATAGCCCGGGTTCGATTCCCCGGCCGAGGCAGGGACAAATGGGCAGAGTGCCTTTCACCACATGCATCTGTTCACCTTTGCAGTAAATAGGTGACTGTGAGTTAAACAGCTGCCACGGCCTATATCCCGGGGATATGTATGTTATAGATATATAATATGTTACATAGAGGAAAATAGTTCGGTTGTTAGTTCATTAGACAACCGACGGTTGGAAAGGCGGGGTCCAAGAGCTAACATCTCGATCCTACACACACACACACACACACACACACACACACACACACACACACACACACACCTATAAAGCAAGTGAATATGGGTCTTTAATAAATTAATTATTATTGTTCTAATTCTTAATTATTCTAATTGTAATTATTATGTAATTATTAATATTTTATCATTATTATTATTAGTAATCATTATAAACGCCTCATTATTAATTATTCATCATTTGCATAGATGAATCACAATAACGAGGTTGAAGATATAATGACTAAACCACACGTTAGAAATTGATGAAACGGCGACTTTTCGGTCCATCCTGGACCATCATGGACCTGGGAGTCGGTCGGCCGAGCGGACAGCACTCTGGACTTGTGATCCTGTGGTCCTGGGTTCGATCCCAGGTGCCGGCAAGAAACAATGGGCAAAGTTTCTTTCACCCTATGCCCCTGTTACCTAGCAGTAAAATAGGTACCTGGGTGTTAGTCAGCTGTCACGGGCTGCTTCCTGGGGGTGGAGGCCTGGTCGAGGACCGGGCCGCGGGGACACTAAAGCCCTGAAATCATCTCAAGATAACCTCAAGATAAGATCATCAATAATACACATGTATTATTATATGTACATTATATGTAAAAATATAAATGCTATTTGATACAAAAAAAATACGTCATGAACTAAAGATCAAACCTACGTAGGCCTAATTTTAATTACAGGTAGCCAGGTGTGTGTATTAGGTACCACTGTTTATTTCCTGAGTCACATATATAATCACATATATAACCAAAGTTCATAAACATTTTGCATTATATTTGTTCAGTGAACAAATACACATATTCACGAGTGCATATATGTACCCCCAGTGTGTTCCCTCATACATGTGTGTCCCCCACATACATATGTATACCCACCAAGATGTGTATACATATACACGTGGCTTTGCTAACCTTTAAAGCATCACTGACCTTGTCCCAGTGCTCTTCTGTTGTTCCCTCAACCACTTATCCGGACATTCAACCACTTATCCGGACATTCAACCACTTATCCGGACATTCAACCACTTATCCGGACATTCGTCTCCAGCCACGCAGATGTCTGGTGTCGGACGCCAGTGTGACGCCCAGATAAGCACACACACACACCTGCTAAACACCTGTCTATCACATGTAGGCAGGTGTTCTATCACCTTTACGTCCAGTCTGACGAAATATAGCATCAGAAACACGACTCTAAGTGCATGGAGACTATTATTGGTTTACCCGAGTACCCCGTGCATTAAATATATTTTTTTTTAACCGAGATGGAAGAGCGGTATACCTGGAGTGGATATACCTTTTGTGGATATATCTGGTGTGGATATACCTCGAGTGGGACGTAACACTCTTGGAGAGGGTTCAATTCCTCGAACCAAAACATGTTTCAGAAAATATATTAATAACCCCCCAAGATCTTGAGGTTATCTTGAGATGATTTCGGGGCTTTAGTGTCCCCGCGGCCCGGTCCTCGACCAGGCCTCCACCCCCAGGAAGCAGCCCGTGACAGCTGACTAACACCCAGGTACCTATTTACTGCTAGGTAACAGGGGCATAGGGTGAAAGAAACTCTGCCCATTGTTTCTCGCCGGCGCCTGGGATCGAACCCAGGACCACACAGGATCACACAGGATCACAAGTCCAGCGTGCTGTCCGCTCGGCCGACCAGCTCCCTCAAGATAACGAAACAAATCATAAAACTTGGTTATCATTGGCCCGGCACACTACCCAGTAACGAAATGCATCCGTAGTACGTTATCTAATACGTTAGTTGCCATGTTTCAAGATATCGAACATGAAGATATCACAGTAATGTCATCCATAATGGCTGCTCTTAGACACATCACCTGGCATACCGAAATGCTTGTAGCACATCACTTGGTATTAGAATGCGATAGCACATCACTTGGTATTAGAATGCGATAGCACATCACTTGGTATTAGAATGCGATAGCACATCACCTGGTATGATGTTGTCCAAGATTCGCTACTTGAAACAAAAAGTTCCAAGCAGCACGGGCTATGGTGAGCCCGTACCTGGTATGAGGGAATGTGTTCCTCATGATCTGATGTTAATGCCGTGTGAGAGAGCTTCAATACCCTCTAGAGGTTGTGGTAGTAGCTGCAGGCGAAGTTCGATCCCCAGATACGCACAAATTACGCAAAACTACGACATTTCGTACAGGTACAAAGCCTATACGAAAAGGCAACCTCTGGGTATCGAACGGGACTATTAACCCAAGCTGGTTTGATAGAAAATCGATGCCAATTAGCCAACATGGGGGCACAGGGGTTATGCAAAGCCATATATGAGCGTGAAAAATGAATAAGCCGAGTATCTCTTCATTGTTTCAAGCGTAGGTTAGACCTAAATATGAATGAGATTGGGCGGATATAAATAGGAGCTGCCTCGTATGGGCTAATAGGTCTTCTGAAGTTCATTCTTAAAGTGTATAACAGTTATTCATGTATAGTGGAGACACAATCATAAATGATGAATGGTGATGAATGATAGGGTTGTGATGGTGAGTGAGAGAGGAGCGAGAGAGTTGTGTTGACATAGTGACAATGATTCTTGTTTAGTAAACAAACTGGGTGTGTGAATTTGTTTTTTTTTCATGTGCGGTTATAATTTAATTTTTTAATTAACATTACTGTGATTGCTACTGTTGCTGCTGCTACTGTTGCTGCTGCTACTGTTGCTGCTGCTACTGTTGATGCTGCTAATGTTGATGCTGCTACTGTTGCTGCTGCTACTGTTGATGCTGCTACTGTTGCTGCTGCTACTGTTGCTGCTGCTACTGTTGCTGTCACGGTTACTGTTTCTGTTCTTACTGCTACTGTTGCTGCTGCTACTGGTGCTACTACTGTTGCTGCTACTGTTGCTGCTACTGTTGCTGCTGCTACTGGTGCTGTCACTGCTACTGTTTCTGTTCTTACTGCTACTGTTGCTGCTACTACTGTTGCTGCTACTGTTGCTGCTACTGTTGCTACTGCTGTTGCTGCTACAGTTGCTGCTACTACTGTTGCTGCTACTGTTGCTGCTACTGTTGCTACTGCTGTTGCTGCTACTGTTGCTGCTACTACTGTTGCTGCTACTGTTGCTACTGCTGCTACTACTGTTGCTGCTACAGTTGCTGCTGCTACTGGTGCTGTCACGGCTACTGTTTCTGTTCTTACTGCTACTGTTGCTGCTACTGTTGCTGCTGCTACTGGTGCTACTACTGTTGCTGCTGCTACTGGTGCTGTCACTGCTACTGTTTCTGCTCTTACTGCTACTGTTGCTGCTACTGTTACTGTCACTGCTACTGTTGCTGCTCTTACTGCTACTGTTGCTGCTCTTACTGCTACTGTTGCCGTTGTTACAACAACAGCTGCTGCTACTAAAACAGCCACTCATGCTCCTGCTACTTATCCTGTTGCTGCTACTGCTGATCCTGCCCTCCTGTTACCGTTGCAGCTGCTACTAATACTGGCCCCGTTACTGTTAATTGCTCATAATGACCGCTACTGTTGCTGTCACTCTTGCAACCGTGCTGCTGCTGCTGCCTTAGTTCGTATCTCAAGGTCTGCTGCTGCTGCCTTAGTTCGTATCTCAAGGGCTGCTGCTGCTGCTGCCTTAGTTCGTATCTCAAGGGCTGCTGCTGCTGCTGCCTTAGCTCGTATCTCAAGGGCTGTTGCTGCTGCTGCCTTAGTTCGTATCTCAAGGGCTGCTGCTGCTGCTGCCTTAGTTCGTATCTCAAGGTCTGCTGCTGCTGCTGCCTTAGTTCGTATCTCAAGGGCTGCTGCTGCTGCTGCCTTAGTTCGTATCTCAAGGGCTGCTGCTGCTGCTGCCTTAGTTCGTATCTCAAGGGCTGCTGCTGCTGCTGCCTTAGTTCGTATCTCAAGGGCTGCTGCTGCTGCTGCCTTAGTTCGTATCTCAAGGTCTGCTGCTGCTGCTGCCTTAGTTCGTATCTCAAGGTCTGCTGCTGCTGCTGCCTTAGTTCGTATCTCAAGGGCTGGTACTGCTGGTTCTACTGTTCGAGCAGAGCTTGTTGAACAACAGTGAACAGAGGTTGAACAGACCGCGCCAAGCCTCTTGATTGTTCGGTTGAACTCGGCAAGTCTCCGCGATATTTTAAGAACACAGTAATGGGGATTTGAATAAGTTGCGAAGGGGGGTGAGGGGTGGGGATTAGGGGGGAGGGGGGTGTGAACATCATGAGTCAGAAGGGGAGGAAGAGAGGGGGGGGGAGTCAGTTAGAGAGGGGGGAGTCAGTTAGAGAGGGGGGGAGTGAGTTAGAGAGGGGGAGTGAGTTAGAGAGGGGGAAGTGAGTTAGAGAGGAGGGAGTCAGTTAGAGAGGGGGGAGTCAGTTAGAGAGGGGGGAGTCAGTGTGAGAGGGGGGGAGTCATTTAGAGAGGGGGGAGTCAGTTAGAGAGGGGGGAGTCAGTTAGAGAGGGGGGAGTCAGTTAGAGAGGGGGGAGTCATTTAGAGAGGGGGGAGTCAGTTAGAGAGGGGGGAGTCAGTTAGAGAGGGGGGAGTCAGTTAGAGAGGGGGGGAGTCATTTAGAGAGGGGGGAGTCAGTTAGAGAGGGGGGAGTCAGTTAGAGAGGGGGGAGTGAGTTAGAGAGGGGGGAGTCATTTAGAGAGGGGGGAGTCATTTAGAGAGGGGGGAGTCAGTTAGAGAGGGGGAAGTCAGTTAGAGAGGGGGAAGTCAGTTAGAGAGGGGGGAGTCAGTTAGAGAGGGGGGGAGTCATTTAGAGAGGGGGGAGTCAGTTAGAGGGGGGGGAGGGGAGAGGGAGGGATTATCAGGGGAAATCGCCAAGGCATTACGACTATACAGCACTTGAAAGGGGAGTCAGGATAAGGACTTGGGATGGGACGGGGGGTAAGGAATGGTGCCCAACCACTTGTGGACGGTCGGGGATTGAACGCCGACCTGCATGAAGCGAGACCGTCACTCTACCGTCCAGCCCAAGTGGTTGGGGGACTAAAGGGTGTTAGGAAGACGTTATTAGTTAGATTCTATTCCCCAGTCAAGAATATTTAATCTCTATATTATCTGTAAATCTAGACTTATTTAGGATATCTTTTTGACTTCAGTAAATTCATTGCAGCAGAAATCTTACTCCTCATGTTGGAGATCTGGTCGACGACCGGGCCGCGGGGTCGCTGAGCCCCGAAATCACCTCAAGGTAAGGTAACCTCAATATATGTTTCCATTTTCCGGGGGATTTTCTCTCTGGAGTCAGTATAGTTACTAACAACCAATTCCTTCACTTGTAGTCACTGATGAAGATCAGCCAATCACTTGTAATAAGTGCATCTTACTTAAAGAAACAACTCCCTTGTTTTAAGGCAGGTCATGTGGCGGCAGGCAGGCAGGCTGGCAGGTTATGTGGCGGCAGGCAGGCAGGCTGGCAGGTCATGTGGCGGCAGGCAGGCAGGCTGGCAGGTCATGTGGCGGCAGGCAGGCAGGCTGGCAGGTCATGTTGCGGCAGGCAGGCAGGCTGGCAGGTCATGTGGCGGCAGGCAGGCAGGCAGGCAGGCTGGCAGGTCATGTTGCGGCAGGCAGGCAGGCTGGCAGGTCATGTGGCGGCAGGCAGGCAGGCTGGCAGGTTATGTGGCGGCAGGCAGGCAGGCTGGCAGGTCATGTGGCGGCAGGCAGGCAGGCTGGCAGGTCATGTTGCGGCAGGCAGGCAGGCTGGCAGGTCATGTGGCGGCAGGCAGGCAGCAGGCTGGCAGGTCATGTGGCGGCAGGCAGGCAGGCTGGCAGGTCATGTTGCGGCAGGCAGGCAGGCTGGCAGGTCATGTGGCGGCAGGCAGGCAGGCTGGCAGGTCATGTGGCGGCAGGCAGGCAGGCTGGCAGGTCATGTGGCGGCAGGCTGGCAGGTCATGTGGCGGCAGGCAGGCAGGCAGGCTGGCAGGTTATGTGGCGGCAGGCAGGCAGGCTGGCAGGTCATGTTGCGGCAGGCAGGCAGGCTGGCAGGTCATGTTGCGGCAGGCAGGCAGGCTGGCAGGTCATGTTGCGGCAGGCAGGCAGGCTGGCAGATCATGTTGCGGCAGGCAGGCAGGCTGGCAGGTCATGTGGCGGCAGGCAGGCAGGCTGGCAGGTCATGTGGCGGCAGGCAGGCAGGCTGGCAGGTTATGTGGCGGCAGGCAGGCAGGCTGGCAGGTCATGTGGCGGCAGGCAGGCAGGCTGGCAGGTCATGTGGCGGCAGGCAGGCAGGCTGGCAGGTCATGTTGCGGCAGGCAGGCAGGCTGGCAGGTCATGTTGCGGCAGGCAGGCAGCAGGCTGCGGTAATGCGACACCTTGCGGGAGGTGTCGCCTGCGGCCACAGGAACCCACAGTGCTCCAGACACCGCACCTCATATGATGTAGGCACCCCGTTACCTGTGTGTGCGTGTGTGTGTGTGTGTGTGTGTGTGTGTGTGTGTGTGTGTGTGTGTGTGTGTGTGTGTGTGTGTGTGTGTGTGTGTGTGTGTGTGTGTGTGTGTGTTTACTAATTACATTTGCTCTTTGTGCCTGCAGGATCGAGGGTGTTAGCTCTTGGACCCCGCTTTTCGAATCATTGGTTATCTAGTGTGCTGACACACGACCTATTTAACTCTATCTTACTGGGTATTTACACCCCATACTTCTCTTCACCCCCAACCTATACCTCGGGGTACCTGGGATCGAGTTGAGTGACAGATGGGGGGGGAGAGGGGGGTGTAAACCCCAGAGATATGAGTGTGGGTCAATGGTTGGCTAGACCGTCGTGTATAATTAATAATTCATGTCCACATAACTGGAGTATACTCCAGTTATTCCATAAAAAAAGGAATTTTTGCATCAAAATCACCAAGTCCAGCCTGAGGAAAGTTTTGTCTTTTGGAGGGTCTGTCATGAGCAATTGTCACGGAATACCTGGAGTGGGTTGTAGAGTTGACCAGACCACACACTAGAAGGTGAAGGGACGACGACGTTTCGGTCCGTCCTGGACCATTCTCAAGTCGACTGGTCAACATTCTTCAGCCACGTTATTGTGACTCATCGCCTGCTTCTAGGAGTTCTACTCCTCCTCCTCTGGTTCGGCCCCGGGGCCTGGCTTGACTTGGGGTAACTTGATCCAACAGGTTGTTGCTTGGAGCGGCCCGCAGGCCCAAATATCCACCCACCACAACTCGGTTCGTCCGGCACTTTTCGCAAGATTTATTTTCTTCTTGAAGAAATTCACTTTGTTCCAGTAATATTTGTTACTGGGAGAGTACTGAACAGCTGTGGACCTCTGACGTGCTCTCTGATTGTGAGAGTGAGGAGTAGAGGCACCTCTACTTCTCCTCAACTCCCCCTCTAATCATTTTCCTGGCCGCCGCTATATATTTGCTCGGTTAGGTTCCCTAAATCACCATTTGGTCACCACTTGGTCCGGGAGACATCTCCCGTCACGCAGGGTGCAGTTGCGCCTCCACATATCTCCAGTATCATCTTTTGATACTGGTAATGGCTCGAAAGGGCCACCACTTACGGGCTATTCATGCCCGTGCCACCTCTTGGGTGGCTTAATCTTCATCATCATCATTCCCTAAATGTCGCGTCGTCACACTTCATCATTTCCAGATGTGTTACAAATTATTTGCTTTCTACGAATAAGGCGATTGTGTCTTGTACCCTGTAATTCATTTAAGTTCCTCGTTCCCTCCATACCTAAGTCCTTGGAACTAATCACTGTTGAACATCGTGTTATTTTCCGTTGTTCAATCGATGAATATTAATACCGACTTACAGTCTTTCAGTGGAAATTTTCATGGTGATTTTTACACTAAGTGCAAAGGATGACACGAAGCTGTGACTAGTATTTTTGTCTATAACCTGCTTTAACAATGAGGACGAACAGTGGTACAAGAACTGTGCCCTTGCGGGTACAGTGCTTTTCACTCCACTTGAACTTGGTATTATTTGAGTGACTGTTACTCTGCATTCTGTTTGACAGAAAATGGAAAATCTTACGCTCTACTCTACCCGTTATTCCAATTGATCTCATTTTGTGGGCTATCACTCCATGGTCACACATCAAATGCCTTTGCAAAGTCTGTGTATACAACATATACATTCTGATTTTCTTCTGATGCTTCTGTGACTTTGTCATAGTGGTTGAGTAACTGTGAGAAGACAGGATCTTCCCGCTCTAAATCCATGTTGACCTGGGTTAAAAAGTTTAGTATTTTTTCATAAAACTGGAGATTTGATTTCTAATCACTCAAAAACTGTCATTATGTGTGATATTAGTGCAACTGGTCTACAGTTTTTTGCCAAAGCTTTACTACCTCTCTTATGTAGTAAAAAGAGGTAGTAAAGTATATATATATATATATTATATGAGGCACTTAAATCAGCATAGTAAATCCAACCCGTTCTCGCAAATTTAATAAGTCAATATTGACTTATTAAATATGTGCATAGGTGACATACTTAACATAATAGTTTCCCTTGAAAAGATTCATAGAAAACACCGACCTTACCTAGCCTACTTAGTATGTTAAGATAAGCATCTTATTGCGTCGTAATTACAATTATTACCTAACCTATACCTATAATAGGTTAAGTAACAATTGTAATTACGAAGCTATAAGATGCTTATTTTAACATACTAAGTAGGTTAGGTAAGGTCGGTGTTTTCTATGAAGCTTTTCAAGGGAAACTATTATGTTTAGTATTTCACCTATGCACGCAACTAATAAGTCAATATTGACTTATTAAATTTGCGAGAACGGGTTGAGTAAATCACTATGTCTGATTATTTAAGTGTCCCATTATGATATGAAGGACTGCTGATATTACACACTAAACAGTGTAATTAGCTTACTAAGACTGTAACTTGCTAGACTAAATGAATTTGGGGGGGTTCAGTTCCTATGAGTGGTAGTAGGCCCCATACCTATTGTGAGAGTGGTAGAGAACACCATACCCATCCTGTGAGTGGTAGTGGACACCATACCCATCCTGTGATGGTAGTGGACCCCATACCCATCCTGTGATGGTAGTGGACACCATACCCATCCTGTGATGGTAGTGGACACCATACCCATCCTGTGAGTGGTTGTGGACACCATACCCATCCTGTGAGCGGTTGTGGACACCATACCCATCCTGTGAGCGGTAGTGGACACCATACCCATCCTGTGAGCGGTTATGGAAAAGTCTATGCACATAATGGGCCCAAGAACTGAACCCTAACCTGGGCGTGCAAAGTATCACATCTTAACTACGCGTTCAAATTAGACACATGTTAAAGATATTGAAATTGGTTTGGTATACGAACAGCGGAATGTCATTTCTAGCACATAAAGATATTTGCAATAATTGATTGCATATAGGCCCTGTCTAGGTTCACTAGGCCTACCACTGTGTAATGTGGGCCTATAATTTTCGAACAGTGGCGTCAACCGAACATGAACCATATAATGGTAGATTATAGAACAAGTGTTATAGAAGACGCAGCTCAAGCTCAGAGCGCTACGGAGTTCTGAGGGGCGCAAGGGCGTACCGTTATGTCAGATGTACCGCTGGGTCAGGTCTACCACTAGGGGTCAGGTGTGCCGTCAGGTGTGCCGTTAGGTCAGGTGTACCGCTGAGGTTAGGTGTGTGTGTGTGTGTGTGTGTGTGGACGATTCCGCGGTAAAAGATCTCCACCTCCCACTGAACGGCTGTTATTCGTACGGTCCCTTCTCGCCCCTCCAAACCCCACCCCCACCCCATTCCACCCCTTCCCCGTAACCCCCCACCCCTATTCCACCCCTGAGCACGCTCCACGCGTTGCTAAGAAACTGGAAAATCTTAAGAGACGTCATATATATTTCATCAATAAACACACTGACTTAACCCACGAGATAAACTCGTAATTCCGTCAACTCCGCGTCATTTAGAGGTTCAGGTAAACCAAAGGTAAAGACGTTCACGTAACGGGTGTGCAGAGGTAAGGTGACGCAGATAACGTACTGGTAACAGCACACCACCGCGACGGACCTGCGTTATCATGCTAACGGCCGGTTTGAGAGCCAATTGTGAATTGGATAGCAGCTCCACCCATCCGCGTTCTATATTATTTGCTATCTGTCTCTATACATTGTTAAAAAGTGGTCAGGGTCGGTAGATGTCTATGCCTGTCTATGCTTGTCTATGCCTGTCTCTGCTTGTCTATGCCTGTCTATGCCTGTCTCTGCCTGTCTGTCGCCTGTCTCTGCCTGTCTCTGCCTGTCTATGAATGTCTCTGCTTGTCTGTCGCCTGTCTCTGTCTGTCTATGAATGTCTCTGCCTGTCTGTCGCCTGTCTCTGCCTGTCTTTGCCTGTCTATGAATGTCTCTGCCTGTCTGTCGCCTGTCTCTGCCTGTCTTTGCCTGTCTATGAATGTCTCTGCCTGTCTGTCGCCTGTCTCTGCTTGTCTATGAATGTCTCTGCCTGTCTCTACCTGTCTATGTCTGTCTATGCCTTTCTCTGCCCTGTCCCATGGACAGTACTAAGTCTAATGTTTCCTGATATGCTAATTTAGTTCAACTGTCACTGACCAGATATCCTACGGTAATCTTGCTATAAATATGTGACAGATATAATACAAAATACAACCTAAGATTCAATTCTGTCTAGCGTGTTGTAGTTTCACTGTAGGATTCGGTTCATCTAGATCCCAAACTAGGATTACTAGGCAGAGAGAGATTGAGATTCCGGTGAAAAGCTTCAGAGGGCACAGTATTGCTTCGAGGTTTTAAATTACCAATTCAAGGTTAAATTACCAATTACACATGGTAATTTTTCTGATGATATTTAGAGTTAAGAGTTAGACTAAATGTTATTGTGTTTGATCATCTTGAGACCTGGTTGAAAGTAAGGTTATTCAACAGTCATTATCTAAGGTTGTTTGGTTGTTAAGTGGTTGATGACTTTGAGACGTTGAATTGTAAAAGGGAGGAAATATTTAAGACGAATCTTGGGTGAATCTTGGCCATTAGCTACTTGATACCTGGTTGATACCTGGTTGATGGGGTTCTGGGAGTTCTTCTACTGCCCAAGCCCGGCCCGAGGCCAGGCTTGACTTGTGAGAGTTTGGTCCACCAGGTTGTTGCTTGGAGCGGCCCGCAGGCCCACATGTACCTGGTTGATGGGGTTCTGGGAGTTCTCCTACTCCCCAAGCCCGGCCCGAGGCCAGGCTTGACTTGTGAGAGCTTGGTCCACCAGGCTGTTGCTTGGAGCGGCCCGCAGGCCCACATATACCTGGTTGATGGGGTTCTGGGAGTTCTTCTACTGCCCAAGCCCGGCCCGAGGCCAGGCTTGACTTGTGAGAGTTTGGTCCACCAGGCTGTTGCTTGGAGCGGCCCGCAGGCCCACATGTACCTGGTTGATGGGGTTCTGGGAGTTCTTCTACTCCCCAAGCCCGGCCCGAGGCCAAGCTTGACTTGTGAGAGCTTGGTCCACCAGGCTGTTGCTTGGAGCGGCCCGCAGGCCCACATACCCACCACAGCCCGGTTGGTCCAGCACTCACACACGAATGATATAATTTTATCCGAGGAGAATCATCCATCCAGCAAACTCAACCAGTTCATTTTCGTGGCACGTCATTGGCCACTCCAACTCACAAGTCTAGCCTGGCGTCGAACCTGGCCTCGGGCCGGGCTTGGGGAGTAGAACAACTCCCAGAACCCCATCAAGCGGACCCTGGCCCACTCTAACTTTTCCAGAAATATCCACTTGTTAGGAAATCCAGATTAAGAATGAGTGATGTACACAATGTGTAACAGATATAAAGGGTGGAATATAACGACTAATTAAGCAGTTAGGACACCCCCCCCCTCAGCTGGTTATTGGGAATCACGAAGGAACTACTGTCAGAAAGACAGTAGTTCACCTACTGTCACCTACTGACAGGTGCTTTCAGCCCTATGGACGTCAGATCTATCTTGAGGTTATCTTGAGATGATTTCGGGGCTTTTTAGTGTCCCCGCGGCCCGGTCCTCGACCAGGCCTCCACCCCCAGGAAGCAGCCCGTGACAGCTGACTAACACCCAGGTACCTATTTTACTGCTAGGTAACAGGGACATAGGGTGAAAGACACTCTGCCCATTGTTTCTCGCCTGGGATTGAACCCAGGACCACAGGATCACAAGTCCAGCGTGCTGTCCGCTCGGCCGACCGGCTCCCTGTATGAACCGACCGGCTCTATGTTGTATGAACGATCATACATTTTTGTATGTATGAAAAGCTTTCTTCAAGGGAAGAAAACCTCAGAATCTGTTGATGGAACAGCCTCAGGAACATTGTTCACAGCCTCAGGAACAATGTCAATTGTTCCTGAGGCTGTGAACAATTTTCGTATTGCTTCCTGGAATGATTAATTTATATTAGTTCTTAAAATTGTCTTACCATGCTATTCTTGTGACAAAGTGTGCCAATATCTGTCTTACATTTTTGATGATAAATTACACTATGTATTTTTCCAATCATTTCATATTATAAGCTAAATGTTATTCATTTTATTTACAAAAATGTAAAGTTTGATTTAGACAGCTGTACACGTGTTTAGTTCAGTCATTATTGTAATGATTTGTATAAGTGGTTATGAACATAGTTTCTGATTGTGAATTTGAGAACTGTAATGATTTTTGAAATATTTGACGAATGTTGCTTCCAACTGTAAATGTTGAGTCATAATTACTACATAATTACAGATATTACATAATTACACAGTACATAATTACAGATATTTTATGTAATTACTGTGACTATCTCAGGTAAGTCATTTACAGTAAATGTGTGTAAACTTACCCCCACTATAAATGTATATACATTTCTGAATAAAAACATTGGAATTTAAATCCACACCATCCAGTCATCCACACCACCATCACAGTCATTACCTCCACCAGTCATCCACACCACCATCACAGTCATTACCTCCACCACGAGTCATCCACCACCACCACGAGTCAT